GTGCGATTTCTAAAGTGTTTCCATTGCCTTCTCAATGTGACAGCAAAAACATGCCTTTGTGTACATCTGGCATTGTGTTGTCTTGGCGTACAATGTGCCCAAGCTAATGCCAACGCAGTCAGAAGCCAACGTTCTGATGATGCAATAAAAATTGTGACATAAAACAGTAGGGTATTTAAAGAAAAACTTACATTGTTCTGAAATGCATGAGTACATGCAAACAAAGGTACATGATGAAGCACGTATCCCCCTTTCTCCCCCCCATCCCACCGCCCCCGTCTTCCTCACCACCTGTTTCATCCGTCACACTATTGCAAGGAAAACATTCCCACAACTTGGGCTTATTTGTCATGTCATTAAACAGTACTTTCCCCTGGACGGCGCTCGTGGAAAATATTTTTCCTCCAACAGAAGAGGGAAAACTGGGTCAATGTCAATGAACGAGACTGGAGAAGGGAATGCTGGTTCTCGTGCAGAAGGGCTGTCAGAACATATTAAAAAGTACAAGAAAGAGTCCCGCGATGGGTGACATTGCCATGGACGTGATTAATTATTCACATGCTAAACGCACAGCTTCAATTTCACTTGTGGCTCACGGTTCGGAGGACTGGTGTTAAATAGAGAGCGGACTGGGTCTGCGGATCTGGCAAAATTGCGAGCCGTGAATGAATTGCCAAACTACCCACAAGCGATCGACCAAATAGTGTCAAACACTGCTCGAGAGCTGCAGGGGATCTGGGGCCCTCTTGTGAGGAGCGCAATATATCAGCCCAAACTCTTACAAGACGGATAAGAACTGTCAAACCTCATGCTTTTGGTAATCTATGATACTGTTCGACTCCCATGGTATTCGTACAGTGTAATATTTTCACTCTTGCACGTAAACTGCTGCATCAATCTGTGCTGTCGACAGGAGCTGGGAAGGGAGAGGACAGCAATCTTTTACAGTCAACTACTGTCGTTCATTTTTCTTCGCTTTGCGAGGAACTCTTTTTTTTCTTTCTTTGGCAGTTCCTGCTCCTCTCCTTCCTCCTTCTCCTATTTCTCTTCGTAGGGCACTGACCCCTGGTGGGATGTGCCATCCCAGCCTAATCTTTTTCTTACCAGACAATCACGAGCACTCACACTTTCCAGCAGGGGACAAGTCTCACCGTATAAGACATCAGGAGCTATTTACCCCATTCTCTGAACGCAAGATGGAGCGGGGCGAAATTACATTGCCACAATCGCTGCTTTGGCTGAGCTCAGCCAGCTCAGCACAGACAAGGCCTCAAATCTGTAATTACAGTTCTGTAACGATCAGTATTCAGTATACACATTTACGCATCTCACATGCACTCGATGCATTCTTGTTTCCCAGGAGAAGCTGACAATGTCAGCAACGAGGAGGAGCCCCCATGTTAGAGGTAAGAGCCAGAAGCAATGACAAGGCAAGCCTTGAGAAAAGACGCCTTGGACACGTATAAAAGTTTTTCAAATGGGATTGAAAAAAGTTAACCCGGGACAATACTTAAGGATGCACCAAGACCAACAAAGAAAAGCCTTGCAAAAGGGGCGATTTCAGGAGAGACAACAGGAAGGTTTTCTTTACCAAGGAGGGTAAATAGTGACTGGAACAAGTGGCCAGGAAGGGTGACTGAGGTCAGGATACTGCGACTCATTTAAAAAAACAGGAAGACTACAGAGTAAGTATTCTGTAAGAGTGAGATTAGAGGAGTCAAAGGGCCTTCTTTAACCAAACTTATCTTGTGATCTTGTGATTGTTAGCTTTTAATCATAGAATCATAGAAGTCATAGAATATTTCAGCACAGAAGGAGGCCATTTGGCCTATCATGCCTGTGTCGACTCTTTAGAAGAACTATCCAATCAGTCCCCCAGTCCTGCTCTTTCCCCATATCCTTGCAAATTTTTCCACAGATTTTTGCATTCTACAGACTGCCCCAGTCATGAAACATTTAAGAGCCTCTTGGAAAACTTGTGCCTCAGCTAATTGGAATATGGCTTTAGTTAGTGCTTTGCGAGGAGACAAGAGAGAGAGAGATAGTACCCGCTTTATGTGAGAAAAAGCTGGATGTTATCGCACAATACTGGATGTGCACTTCTGTTTTTATTGTAAACTGCTATTCTTGTCTGTAAGAGAATTGGGCTCTAACCAGCAATGTTTGCAAACCCGATTTGTTGCCTTTACTGTAAATAACAGCCAATGGAAAGAATGGGTGGGCAGTTACATCACCGTGAAGGCCATTTTTAATCCAGGGGTGATTGACAGACTGCCAGCCATCACATGGAAACCTCTGTTTTAGGTGTGCCAGCGTGAACGATGCTGCCTCTTACACAGTGCACGCACCGCACAGTTACCATCAACTACACCGTCAGCAGCTAAAGTAGCTATTATTTCTCGCCCACCCCGTGCCTTCCTTCCCCTTGAAAACCAGCCGCCATTTTATCATGCTTAAAGCAATCAGTATGCAGGATTTTAATTCGAATGTAATGATAGTGATTTCAGTTCTCGTGAAGACAGTATCTATTATCAGCCACTGCTCGCAAACATAGAGCTGGTTAATGACTGACAAACTGCTTTTATTGTGCTTGCTGAACAGAACTGTTTCCAGTTTGTGGTGGTATTTCGAAGCCCTTCTGACTCAGCCCACGCAGACATTTTAATTAAGAATGACTCAGTACTAGAAACCTGAGCTATAATCCACTATTATTATCCTAAAAGTAAGGGGAACCAAAGAATTCAGCACTGTGCTTGCGAGTGAGATCATGAGGTCCATTCTCATATGTTGCTAAGTCCCAAGTCCCTCATCTCGGCTGCAAGTGCGCTTCTCATTGGGAAACAAATCTAATTGCGTTGCCAATCTGGTTTGTTCCAAGAAGCAGAGATTCTTCCGGTTTCAGTTTCCGATGCCAGCACAAGAACATAGGAGGGCACCGAATGAGAAAAGCCCTTTTGGCCTATCAAATCCCACTCTTTCCACACAAACTCCCTCTCCTTCCCTTCCACCCTCCTACCTCTCCCCTTACTGAGGACGTCATCCCACCCACTCGATATGGGGAATGTTGTACACAGAGAGCACCTGAACCTAAAAGTCAACCAAGCAAAAAAAAATAATTCATGACAAAATTCCATTCCAACTGCTCTACTCTCCTCCTTCCCGCGACAAGCAACATTCTTCACCCTTCCTCTTCCCCTTGTACCCTCCCCCTTACTAACACACCTACCAGCACAGAAGTCACTGGAATAGTTGAAATACCAAAGTGCAATATGGTTTGAGGCTCCATCCTAGAGAATTATTTGGGGAGGACAAGTTTGCAGGGCTATGGGGAGAGAGAGTGGGAGTGGGATTGATTTGGAGAGCTCTTTTCAAAGAGTAGGCACAGACACGATGGGCCAAATGGCCTCCTTCTGTGCCGTATAATTCTATGATTCTATGATCCTGGGATAAGATGTTTAACTGAGGTCACATCTCCCTGGGATTCGGGCCTTTGTTAAAGATCCCACTCTTCTGAAGCAGAGTGAGACATTCTCTTGGTGACCTGGCCAATAGTCCTCCCTCGTTTAAATTCACCCAAATCAGATCACTTGTTCAACAGATCACCATTGTTTGTTGCTACTGCAGATTAACTGTTGCGTCCGCCCACACGACAAGAGTCACTGCACTTCAAAGTAGCTCATTGTGTGAAGGGCTTTGAGATGTTTCAATGTGGCAAGGCACTGGGATCAAATGTGAGCATTTATTAATTAATTTATTTGAAAGAGTCTTTGCTTTATTTCAAAATGCTGCACTCTTTATTTCATCGTCACACAACTATTGTTAATTTGTACACACCACAGATTCCTACAATATTTTCCTTCTCAATCCTGCAACACTGCCAGCAGCAGAACATTGAAAATGCAGTCCCAGGTTTTTAAGGCCCCAAAAACCTACTGTACTTCACAGTTTCTGCAATCTCCTGATTACACGAGAATCATACCCAACCACAAAGAGGCAGCAACCAAATCACGACGCAACAGCATTTGCCCCATTTGTCTGCAAGGAGGGGCACGGATAAGATAAAAACTCTCCAATTTGTTCGGTTTTCCTTAATTAAAACAGATCTGTGAAAAGGAGGTAAAATTATTTAAAATGACTTACCCGTTGCACAGCTACAGCAGCACACAGATCCCACTCTGAAGACATTTAAACAAAGCGGCTCAATCGGACATAACACAGACATTGGCTCATTGCTCAGGTATTGTGTGGTTATGTCCATTGACTGTTTAAATATGATATTGCACAATGAGGTGGGCACCAATTCTCTGGTTATAGCATGTACCGTTTCGGTTACACATTTGTTGTAATTCACGAGCTTGACAGACTTTCGATCGCCGTTCGAAGTTGTCTGTCAGCGGAAGCGAATGTTGAGAGTTCTGAACTTACATCACACATCGACAGAGCAATAGAATGTTCAAGGTACAAATATTTCCAAGCGCACACATTGCACAAATATCGGATCACGTCACACTCGAAACTACCCCCAGGCGCGCGAGAGACCGTCACATTTTTTTTAACCTGTTTAATTCATGTTAGCAGACGCTTTGCTGGATTCCTTTAACGTTTCAGGGAAATCGAATATACTACGAAACACCATGGGATATGATCGCGATTCCATTCCTGGCGCTGATTTCAGCTCACTTGGAACTGTGCTGGTACCAAGTGATGAGTTCAGTCCAATCATCAGGTTTTGCCATAGCCCATGGGTCTCCATATAATATCCTACAATCATAGAAATTTACAGCACAGAAGAAGGCCATTCATTCGGCCCTATTGTCTAAAGAGCAAGCATTTTGATGCTGCAACACCAAATATCACAATGTTAACAAACCCTATCTGATGAAACACAAAGATGTCCTGCCTGAAATTGACTTGCTACATGGATGTGGACATCTCATTTTCCAGCCGTTACAGGAACATTGCATACTTGATGGGAGTTACATTAGGTGTACAGTACTTACTGGTGCTGGTTTGCATGGTTCTAACCGTGGTAGTTATAGGCGGAGGAGATACAGAACGGACAGATACATTGTCATCATCCTGAGAACAGCCGGCCTGGATAGCTCTGAGATAGCTGTGACTCCTTGATCGGAAACAGCCAGGGATGGGCAGGTCCAAGGCATCCATTGCTTGGGACTCCATCTCGTTGAAGACGGCCTCACAGACATTGTCAAACTGATCGTTCATCTCGACCTCTCTCTCCTGAAGAGGAAAGGAAACCAAATTGAGGTCAGGCGGCTTTGAAATGGAGTTTTAAAACAAATTCTTCGTAAGCTTCAATTAACTTTGCAAAGTGTGTTCCTCTCATTGCCTCCCTCTCCATTCTTCACAGTTATGTCTTCACGGCCAATTCCTGGTTCCTTGCCAAAGTGTTCACTCTTCACATTAGATTTGGAATGACACCATGCTACGTAGAAACATCAACATTTTCCCTACAAAACCCACAGTCACTACACTTTACAGTGAACCCCATGAAGCACTCTGAGACGTCATCTCATCACCCTGTTCCCTGTGATATATATGCGGCATAATACATTTCTGTACTACTTAATTATACTCTTTATTTTCACTGCATTTAAAAATAAATTCCCTTCATTTATCTCTCCCTTTCCGCCCCTTATTTCAAGCAATGTTTTTCTCCGTGTGCCTTAACGGCGGGGCTGTTGCATTACTGGAGAGGAGATGTGACTAAGGAACAGATTTGATCATGTTCTGGACCTCAAGCACCCCGATCAATCGTTTCTAAGGCTTCAAAATGACATCTACACAACCGCAGATCTGCTAACTAACCGTGTAAGTCCAAATGCCAATATCGTAACTAGTAAATCAATTGCCTTTGCCGTTTCAGCTGAAAGTTAATGTAACCAGTGGCTCTGCTCCCCTCAAGAGGCAAAGGCTGCACTCACCTGCATGATAGAAGTGGTGGACTGGATAGTGTCCAGACCCATTCCGTAGTCTGTGTTCCATCTGCGGAACTGAGGTGAATTCAGCCCCTCCGTATCCAGGCAATCGAGACTCCTGTTGATGGCCTCACTCACTGATGCGAGGTAGCTGTGGCTGCGGTAACACAAGGAACAGGAGATTGTTCTTTAATATTAAAAGTAGTAATATTCCTTGCATTTGATACTGCGCCTTATCACGTTGTTGACATGCCTCAAAGCGCTTCGCAGAATATATTGTAAAATGAAATGACTACGTTTTTGTGGGCGAAATGCGACAGCCAATTGCGTACAGCAGTGTCCCAGAAACAGTCATGGATTGAGTGAGCTAATTTTTTTTGAAGGTATTATTTCCCCCGGAAAGCGATCTGCTAGTCGACTAACAACCAGGTTCTTGCTTGCTGCTAGGTAAACAGAGGCGTGCGGAGTAAGGAAACTTGCCTAAGGTTTTGCCCGCCCAGGAACCTTTGGTAAGTTTTATCCATCATTCTTGTGCCATCTCTACCTTTTAACATGGGGCAGTTGAGAAAAAGAAAGACTGTACGGAAAGCAAGTCTTTTGAGGACATGAATCTTCCCCCCATTTTAGCCTGTTAATCTGACACGTTCTTAAGCCATTTTTAGAGCAAAAAAAGTACATGGAGTATCTATTCTGAGCTCAGAAAATGTGCTTTCAACAAATATTTGGCTTATTGAGTGACTGATGTTATCAGCGCCGGTTTAAAATACTTATTGAAGGTATTAGCATTACACATAATACACAGCAGCTGTGTGTTCTGTATGTGTGTGTACATACATAGGGCTGTACAATCAGCCTACAAAAGAGACATCTCAGAGAGGGCTGTAGAGAGATAAAGGTGATTCTCAATGGAATTGAGAACGAAGACTTAAAACAATGCTTTTGAATACAACAGAGCAGCAGAACAAGAGGGTACTGGTTGAGGGTTGAATCGACAAAGGGTGGAACTGCCTGACAATTCAGGACAAACACCAGGAGGTATTTTTTNCAGACAGAGAGTAATTAACAACTGGAAGAAGGTTATGAGGAAGGGTGCTTGATGCCTTCTTTATTTACCAAAACCTTCCAATAATCAGCCTTATCTTTGCTTAAAAGTACTATCTCCTCACCCCCCACACCGGGTTTTTAATACAATTGCACTGACTGCCTATAACATGACAGTACATAGTATTTAAAGGCACTGAGTCTTCATATTCTAGTCTAGATGGATTTGAAGCAATTAGTGACTGCTGTCAGGTAATAAGAAACATGTTAATGAACTGCTAAAATAATAATAATAATAATAATAATTATCCTTGCATTTGATATAGTTGTCTATATCACGTCTTCTAGACGTCTCAAAGTGCGTCACAGGAGATATTGTAAAGTGAATTGACTGTATATTATCAGCCCGTGTTTTAGAGAAACTCACTGGCCAGTGTATTTGTGCATCAACAATGAAACGCTTCGTGGAGCTTCCCTTTACATCTTCACAGCGATTCCCTTGACATTTTTGAGAAAGAACGTTATTGTGGTTTTCACACCCACTGAAGGACAGCTGTCGGGAGTAAATTATTTGACCATTGGCTTTAATAAAAACGTACCTGCGATAACGGAATGAGAGAAGGGGCCTTACCTCTCTGCAGAATGAAAAGAGCAAAAGCTGAGAATTTAATTTGCTGCGAGAGTACATTTGGCACTATCGATGTCATTGCCTTTGACAGATTTCCACTCTGTGGTGAGGGATGAGAGTCTGGTGCAGCTTCATATATCAATCAGGTCAGATGTGCTGCGGGCATAAGGTTGTCTGGAATATGCTGCTAAAAAGCCATCACATGAAGCAGCAGCAATGATTTATTTATCAATAATTTAATATCCTTCCATTCCCGTTTATGATATTTGTCATTGAGTGTAGTGTAAAGTACTGGAACAGAGAATTCATCACGAGGAGTAAATCTGCCCTGGGTTGGAGCCAACATGGAGGCTGGGGGGGGTGGGGGGGTGGGGGTGGGTAGCATTGGGTTTGACATTTTCTAGTTTGAGGAAGCTCTAGCTCCCCATTATGATGAGTTGCTGGCTAACACAGAGTTCACTGCTTTATTTAATTGTGTTTGGTTGAAGGCACCAAGTAAGTATACGTTGAGAAATGCTGTAACACTATCTGCAGATCAGCACCTAATGGAATGGGCAGAGCAGAGCAGGAGTTGAAAGTCTACGCTCCTGCTCTCTTGCAACTCTCTCCCACTTGCTCCTTCTCTCCCTACATTCAAAACCCTTTTGGAAACGGATCTCTTGGGTCGTGCCTCTAGCCAAAATCTTTAAATTCTCCTTCCTCTTCTCGCTGCTCAGTGCACCTGCTGATATCTCTCTGTGGAGTCATTACCCCAGAACGAGATCCCACAACCTTCAGGTGAGGAGCGAGAGAAGGCGATTGCAAGAGGCAGTGCAGAGGAGAGCAATGATGATGATTCCCAGTGTTAAGAGGAATGAGCTATAAGCAACATTCAGACAAGCTGCAGCTCTTCAGTCTTGAGAAAAGATATCTCAGAGGGCACCTTATAGAGACATATAACATTTTAAGTGGGATTGATAAAGTAAAACCCAGAACAATACGTTAGGATGCACTTAGACAGTAGGTTTAAGAATCGCAAAGGGCAATTTCAGGACAGATACCGTGAATTTTTTTAATAATAAATAATAATAATCCTTGCATTTATACAGCGCATTATCACATCTTCAAGACATCGCAAAGTTCTTCACAGAATATACTGTAAAGTGAATTGTCTATGTTTTGTGGGCAAAACACGGCAGCCAATTGCGCACAGCAGTGTCTCAATTACAGGTTAATTAACTTCTTAACCAGAAGGTAATTAATGACTGGAAAAGGTTGCCAGGAAGAATGATTGAGTCGAGAACACCGGAGAGGGTGGGTACTGTGGAAGGATGAGATAAAAATGAGTCAAAGGACGTTCTTTGTCCAAGATCTTGCGATCTTGCAAGTGGTGGATTGAATTGGATTGGATAGAGAAGCCAAATTTGTAACACGGGACAACAGACAGTGGAATGGCTGTACAAGCAGAAGCATCCGAAGAACTCCTTAACCTGTGGCCGTACATTTCTTTCATAGGGAAACTGTGAAACTGGCAACACTTAAAAAAAACTCAGACTTCGCAGGAAATCAGGAGGAGCAAAATGCGAACCTTTTTGCTGTTGCGAGACCCCTAGTGGTGGGCTTTGCTCAGTGCAAAAATCTTTTGTTACTTGTGTTGGAGGATTGCTGTCTTTGTGAATACGCTTTCGGCAAAGCCGAAAAACCAAGAGCCAATCAAGTGTGTCGTTACCCATCAACTCAGTGCAAGGAAAGAGAGTCCCTGATTATCTCGCTCATCTCTCTCACTCTCTCTCCCACCCCCCAAAAGGAAATATTTGGCAAACACGTGTCAGGAGCTTGTGAATCGCTAACAAAAACGTCAACAGCAACGTGTACTTATGCAGCGTCCCTCATGTAGGATAACCTCTTGGAGCGCCTCACACTGGCTGGGTCAGACCCCGAGCAAGGGCACGGGGAAAGGGGATCGTAAAGGTCTCATCCTTTGGCTGAGATAAAGTGTAGTTTTAACTGCGATGAGTCACAGACATCAAACAGATGTTGATCACATAGAGATGTTAATAGTGGAACTGCTACTTGCCATGCCTCTTGATGGTTTGAGGGGCTGGCATTTGCTTACTTTGCTTTGACCCACCTTGGGGAGTTGGCTTAATAAAACAACCAGAACAATTTACATTAATGCAGTGTCTTTCTCGTCGGGAGGAAGCCTCAAGGCGCTTCACGCAACTAATTGGACACCCGAGGAAATGGAGTAGACGCTGAGGGACATTTGGCAATTTGACTAATTCAAATTGAATTGGGGGGGAGAGGTGGTGGGGGTGGAGGTGGGGGGGGGAGGATGTGTTGATTAAGAAGAAATACCACAAGTTTGAACCCAGAGATGTGTTACGTGGGAAGCAAGTGTATTAAGGGATACGGAGGCAAGGAACGAAATAATCTTGCCGTGGTCTGATAAACTGGTAGAACAGGCTCGATGGGCTGAATGGCCTCCCCTTGATCCTGTGTTCTTCTGATATTCCTATTGCAGACAAAACCAAGCAGCTGCTGGCACAGTTGGTTCTGGTCTGGCTGGTTGCCCAGAGTCTGTGTCTCTGTAGCCTACAAACATCTAATTGTTCGGGACAAGTAAATAATACCAAAATATAGAAAATAGCTCCTCGTTCACAGATGTGGCCCATCGTTCCCTCCGCTCATGGTTTCTGTCCCTTTTCAGGCAGCTGCGAGAGGGAGGTCTCCTTATCTCTTGCTCTCAAAGCCTAAATTATTCCCGCGGAAACTAGGCAAACAGGGCACTGCAACGTGACTGAGCCAGGACTCAAATACCACAGTGTGAGCGTTGTGATATGCTGCCTCCTAGCATCATGGGCACAAGAGTCACTGAGATACAGTGAAAGAAAAAGTGGCCAGCACTGAGAGACAGAGACGCTCGGGACTCAGCAGTATTGGGTCTTGTTTGTCAAAGTAATCTTATCCGATGGCTTAGGAACCCACGGATCACTTTTCTGGGGCAATGATTCCTTCAAAAAACAATAATAATTTGGTCACTTAATCCACGACTGTTTGTGGGACACTGCTACGCGCAATTGGCTGTTGCGATTCGCCCGCAAAAAATATACAATCAATTCACTTTACAGTATATTCTGTGAAGCGCTTTGAGACGTCTTGAAGACGTGATTAGGCGCTGTATCAAATGCAAGGATTATTATTATTATGGGACATCCTCCTGACGTGAAAGGTGCTACTTTAATGCAATTTGTTGTGATTGTTGTTGTTATTTGGGAATACAATTGCGATTTGAAAACTGTGGGTGAGAAAAACAATTATTCCACAAAACCCAAAGACCTTTTATTTGCGAAAGTCATTTTACGGAGAGTAGCTATCAGACAAGTGCGATGTTGCAGGGCACCATTAAAATGTCTGGCAACACTAATTGGTGATCAGGATGCAATGGGGGATGGGTGCATTGAGCACTATCTGTGCAGAAAGTGATTGGACAAGACAGCGGTGTGGCTGTCTGAGAAAGGTAACAAGCTGAGGGATAAGAAAGAGAAAGAGAGAGAAAGAGAGTTGTGCTGCTCCTATGTTGCAGAGTGAAAGCAGCTCAGACAATTCGACATTGAGGTTCACGTGTTCCATTTTCTAATGCACCTTGGTTTGGGAGAGAAATTCCATCCGGGTCTAGATTTACGCTATTTCCTTAGCATGTCAGATAAAAGATACCCTAGCTATTCATCTGACAAATACAAGCACTGCATCTTACGGTTGATAGGTTCAAACATTTGAAGACGTTTCAACACTGTGATAAGTGCCATATCAGCGTATCAAATGCACAGATTATTGTTGTTAACACGGTTTTTGCTTCAAGTCAAAGCGATCCGAAACATTATTCGATGTGAAAGGCGCTATATAAGTGCGAGTTTGGTAGGGCATTCCGTGTCCAAACAAGAGAAGTTCTAACCTTTTCACGCCCAATGTCAATGAGTGGATTAAATCCCCGTTTCCACTGCTGATTGAATCAGGGCATAAACAAACACGAAGGACCACGTGGTCCTCATGTTTCTTGACAATGGAAAATGCCAAGGAACTACTTTGTACTAAATGCTCTCCCGGGGGGAAGTGGGTTGTTTTAAGTCAGCAATTTATCTGGGAGATGAGATGACGCGAGAATCGATTGCAAATGCTGGACGGGTTATAAGCACCTAGTTATCCAGTGTATAACAGAGATAGTGCTGCATAAATGCTCTGCCTTCTTGCTAAACGCCAAGCAAACCTGCAAGTCCACTGGAGGGCAACTGATTTCATTGCTTTTGACAACGAGCAGCAGGAGATATCTGTTCAATGTCTTCAATGATTTATAAAAGCTGTGATTTCATTGAACTTTCTGTTAGTGCGTGACACTTCAGCTGCATCTTTTTGATTGGGCAGCAATAACTCCTACCCTCGCACCCCCAATGGAGAGGAAAGGGACTATCACAGCAAAAATATTTTTCTGCCTTTTGTCTGCGTTAGCTCAGGATGTGCATTAGTCTGGGTTGTGCAGACTGCTGGAGATCGAAATAAAACTAAACATGCTTTTCCTCTCTTCATGCTGTGCTCCGTTAAAGTGGAAAATGCTCATTTCTACTGCAGACCAAAAACAAGAGCAAGTGATTTGCAAACGGGAATTTGCGTAGAATGAACATGTGTATTTGTTACAATAACACAGTCTCCCTGCATCGTTAGAGGTGTCGTCCTTCGGATGATACTTTAAACTGCCGGTTCAGGTTGACGTTAAAGATCCCACGGCCCAAATTGAAAAGAGAAGGGACTTCCTCTCTCCTGGTGCCTTGTACAACAATCCATCCCCAGTTTAAACCGGCCAGCCACTTGATGAGTGTTTGTGGGACACATTTGCGGGATATTGCTGTGTACAAGTTAGCTGCCGCATTTGCTTATGAAATACAAAGTCACTACACGTCACAGTATATCCTGTGAAGCGTATTTCCACGTCCTTCTGATGTGAAAGGCGTTGGATCCAAATTTTTGGAGGACGATGCTTGCTTGTTATACATACAATCACCAGCAGGTGGCACTGGCTCCTGTGGCGAAAGCAAACAGCACAGACAAATTTAACTAAAAACAGTGCTGTAGTGTGATTTTGTTCCCAGTGCTATTTATACAGACATTATATAAGTGATACATTAACCGGATTAAATGCAAAATAAACTATTTGATTGCTATGTTCTCCTTAAAGGTGAAGTTCTTCGCAGATGGTATTTCTGGAGGCAGTATCATTGATGCAATATATATATATTTTTAAAAAAACACCCATTAATAATCCTTATATCTTTATCTTTCACATTGGGAGGGAATCTCAAATGCTTTGTGGAGCATTATCCGTGAAGTGCAGTGACTCTCCATTTGAGCAGCCAATTTGTGCACGGCAAAGTCCCACGAACAGCCACAAAGCGAGAGACCAATTTTTTCTGGGGGGTTGTGGGTCGGGGTTACTGGGAGAAAGTCCAATCTCTTTTCGAGTAGTGCAATGGGATCTTCTTCTTAACATCCACTTGTACGGGCACAGGCGGGAGCTCGGCTTAACATCCCTCCTGAAGGACGGGTTACCTCTGGCGATGCTGTGTTTTCCCGGGCACTGTCCTGGCTCGTAAGCCTCCCCCCTGCTCCTTCACACAGTGTGGGGATGAGGAGAAGGGGGAGGCTGTGTGGTCTGAGCAGACTCTAACTACGTGCTCCTCACCCGGCTTCGTCGGCTGTGCTCGGCAGCGACAGACGCGTGCTAATGCGTCTATCACTGCTGTTGACCTGGAAATAACTTGGCAGGAAGTGAACGAGGCCAGATGGATTTGGGCATCAATTCCCTCGAGTATTTCAAAGTAGATAGTTACTGTGGCCATTTCCCACAGCCCCCCCCCCTCCGGCCCCCAGGTAAAATTAAACGACGTAATTGAGGAATGTTAAAGAAAACAACTAATATTAATAACCAACACGTTTGATGTTGCACCTTTCCCATTGGGAACCGGTCTCAAAGCGTTTCACAGGATGCACTGTAAATTGTAGTGGTCATGTACTTTGTGGGTGAACATCTTCGAGTTTAATGATTAACAACGTCATATACTGTACTATCTTTCACAATAAGCACCCTCACTAATTTGCTAAAGATGCCAAATTTACTGCGTGATTTATTTTGTCCCTTATTCGGGTTGAAAAAGTTTACCGATATCCTGCATGATTTCTAAATTGTAAGGCGTTCAATCAGTTAAGCAGTGTAATTTCACTGTCTTTTAGTATTTACAATTTGTGACAGCGAATCTGAATGCTGAAATCACTGATTCGGAATTGTATTCAGTTAACTAATATTAAACATCATCTCTTAGGGGAAAGAACATAAGAACGTAAGAATTTGCTTGGCAAAAGAAGACCAAGATCCATCTGGTTCGCCTTCCACCATCCAGACAATCGCATGACATGTCGGGTCCCAAACTACATATTGTATCCTGAGATATTATTTCCTAACAGAAATCTCACATAAATCTGTTGGAAAACAGAAAGCGAAGGGTTAAATAGAGTTCGCTCGTGGAGACCAAAGCTCCTCAGTATTCAGCTGGAACCTTGCCTTCCTGCTCAAAAAGGCACACCAGGAATGTATTTAAATTAGCCGATGAATATTTATTTAACGGCAGTAACTTGCAATGCTGGTAGCTCTGCTGGTAACACAGTGCTCCGAATCGTGATCAGCATCTGCAAGCATCGAGAATATCATTCGGTTACAATTTTTGACGGCAAATAAAGGATGCCCGGCCACAAAGAGGCAACTGCTCTGAGCAACCTATTCAATTCTCGTCTCCTTCACTACCCATCAGGGACACACGGGTCTGCAGTATGATGAATGTGTGCGCCTGTTATTTCGGTTAGTTTAGTTCAGCTGTGTGTGTGTGTCTGTGTGTGTGTGTGTGCTAGGGTTATCAGCGATGGTTCTGCCCTATGATTTCCTATATCGTCTGCAAAGGATGAATTGCGCTCATTGCCCACTCGCTGATATCTTTTGCCCACGTCCCTTGACTGCAGCAGGTAAAAGGCTTCTCTGCTCAATTATTAATTATTAATTAATTATTAATTAAGGAAACATCTTTACTGTAGATTGGTGACTGTGTATTTTGTTAATACATCGTGGAGTCCTGTAGCTCAGTGGTTAGAGCACTCGCTTTGCAAGCGAGAGACCTGAGTTCAATTCCAGGCAGAGGGCGAAACCTTGGGCAAATTTCCTTACTCCACACAGAGCCTAACAATAATCCCTCCAAAACCAAAAACAATAATAAATTGGTCATTTTCAATCTACGACGGTTGGTGGGACATTGCTGTGCGCAATTGACTGCCGCGTTCGCCCACAAATATACAGTCAATTCACTTTACAGTGTGTTCTGTGAAGTGCTTTGGGACGTCCTCCCGACGTGAAAAGCGCTATATCAAATGCAAGGATTATTATTATTATTAATATTGTGGCTCGGAGCATTGCTGTGAGCAATTGGGCCTACAAATGCATTCCGTCTACACGTACAATACATCCTGTGAAGCTCTCTGGGACGTCCTCCCGACTTGAAAGGAGCTATAAGCAAATGCAAGGATTATTATTATAAATCGGAACAGTGAACAAAAGGCGCTTTGTTCTTATAATAATAATCCAGCCTCTTGCCCCCAGCCTTTGGAACTCCATCCCGCATTCCCTCCGCCTCTCTCCCTCCTTCCCTTGCATCCTTCAAGGCACGTCTCAAGAGCCTCGTCTTCGACTGCGCCTTCGGCCACCTTCCTACCCTCCCTGCCCTCCACCCCTCTTAATCCCGACCCACCTGCCTTGGGTCCAAATTTCTGCTGTCCAGCGACTTGGGACGTCTTCCTGATGTGAAAGGAGCTGCGCAAATATAACTTGCTGTTTGTGGTTGCGTTTGGGTGGGGGTGGGGGGGGGCTATTTCGAAACGGGGGGGAGAGGGTGCCATACTTTTTCTACCAAAAAACACAACAAAATGCGCGCGGGGAAGAGTTGGGAATGGGTTAAAGCTTACGTTCGCTGATTGGTCTGCTCGCTGAGCGATTGCTGCGTGGCTTTCAGGTAGCTCTGGCGTCTGGCTGCGGTCTTCGGGGACGGCTTGGGGCTGATCTCAGAATCCTCGCTGTCGTCGTCTCCCATGGCCTTGATGTAACTGCCGCTGCGCATTCGCCGACAGGGAATCTCCGACACCTTGCTGCGCGTGAGGGTGCTGTTCCAGTCTTCGTGAGGAGGCACCTGCCCGAGATGGAGCACCCGGCGTTAATTAGCCCGAACGCATTTCCAGATTAATTCCCCCCCACCCGCACCCACTCCCCCCCCCCAATAAAAATCGCGGAGCAGCAGGAACCCACTTTCTCCACCCGGCAGATTGTAAGCACCGTCTTTCGAATCGTTTTAGAATTTGTGACGCGTGAGAGACCTGGGGTCAGTCATCACACGACGCCCTGCACATCTATCACGTAACTACTGCTGTGCGCCATTGGCTGCCGTGTTTCGCCCACAAAATACAGTCAATTCACTTTACAGTATATTCTGCGAAGCACTTTGAGACGTCTCGAAGACGTGATAAGGCGCTATATCAAATGCAAAGATTATTATTATGATTAGCTACTAGCACCTTGGCAAGATCACAAGATCGATTGGGATTAAGATAGGCCCTGCCAGGCCATTTGATCTCATCCCTCCACTGTCCCCACCTCACACCGGCCTCCAATCACAGCGTCAAGCTGTTTGTTCAATGAGTTCCAGTTTCCTGGCCCCCAAATAAGAGGCTGACACACTGCGATGATTACTGACTTCAGGTTGGATTGTATAGAACTGTGGCTATTTTTCAAAACAAATACTGCATCACTGCAACTCTTGGCATTTACTTTGGAATCAATCTTACACACAATCTCAGGATCTATCAGCCCGGTTTGTTTCTCTACTTGTGACACAGTTAGATTTAATATCAGCGTTCCCAGAACCTGGCACAGTTGCGTTAAAAGCTCCCTCGACCATTTTGTACCTGGGATAAAAGGCAAGCTTTAACCTCCATATCTTCTCTAAATCCACCTCCGAAGCCTTCTTTGGTACAAAACCACTTTTATTAAAAAAAATCATATCATTTTTATTTGATTTTTATTAATGGTGACTCTCCACACTCAAGCATCAATCAGCAGATCTCAAACCCATGCACTTCTAAAGCTGGTCAATAATGCAAGGATTTCCGAGGTATAATCCATTTAAATCCACAACTCGTTAGCTTTTTCAGCATGAGCAATATATCAGGGTGTAACCCCCACTGAGCTGACGGGCTTCACACAAAGAGGATTTGAGAACATGTTTTTGCTGACCTCCAAGAGTTAAGATGTATTGTCTAGTGTGGAGCTTTTGCTAAGAAGGGAGTCTCGTAGCATTATGGTTACCTCGCAAGCGAGAGGACCCGGGTTCGATTCCCGGACGGGAAGAATCCTTAGTCACGTTTCCTTACTCCACACCATTCTGTTAACCTGGCAGTCATTTTTCCCCCGATAACGTATAACTAGGGAGGTAGATTGAGCTTTTAAACTAATAAGGGGGGAGGGAGTGTTACGGTTAAATGTAAACTTGCAAAGCGAATAAGAAAAGTCAAGGCTGCAGAGCAGAGTAGCGACCTGGGAGATGAAGAACAGAGTGTATCAACAACAAAAACAAAATTACATTTGAAAAGCCTTTTTCACGTCGGGAGGACGTCCCAAGGCAAGGATGTAGAATCAGTATGGGTGGACCTAAGAAACAACAAGGGGCAGAAAACACTCGTGGGAGTAGTTTATAGACCCCCGAACAGCAGTTGCAGTATTGGGCAGAGTATTCATCAGGAAATTAGAGGAGCATGTAACAAGGGGAATGCAGTAATAGTGGGTGATTTTAATCTTCATATAGGCTGGGAAAACCAAATTGGCAAGAGTAAATTAGAGGATGAGTTTACGGAATGCATTAGAGATAATTTTCTAGAACAGTTTGCTGAGGAACCAACCAGGGAACAGGCTATCCTAGATCTTGTATTGTGTAACGAAGCAGAGCTAATCAGTAATCTTGAAGTTAAGGATCCTCTAGGGCAGAATGACCATAATATGATGGAATTTAATATTAAGTTTGAGAGTGATGTAGTTAAGTCTGAAACAAGGGTCTTAAACTCAAATAAAGCCAACTTTGCAGGTATGAGGGATGATTTGGCTAAAATAGACTGGGAAAGTAGATTACAAGATATGACGGTAGACAAGCAATGGCAAACGTTCAAAGATATATTAGATAATTCCTAGCGAATGCATATTCCCTTGAGAAATAAAAATTCCACAGGAAAAGTGGTTCAACCATGGCTAAATAGAGAAGTTAAGGAAAGTATAAAATTAAAAAAGGCCTATAATATTGCCAAAAAGAGCTGTAAACCTGAGGATTGAGAGGGCTTTGGAAATCAGCAAAGATAACTAAGAAACTGATCAAGAAGGAGAAAAGGGAATATGAGAGTAAACTAGCTAGAGATATAAAGACAGATTGTAAGAGCTTTTACAAGTAAATAAAGAGGAAGAGATTAACAAAAGTAAATGTGGGTCCCTTACAGGCAGAGGCAGGAGAAATTATAATGGGGAATAAAGAAATGGCAGAGTCACTGAACAAATACTTTGCTTCTGTCTTCACGTTGGAAGATACTTAAAACTTACCAGAAATAGTGGGGAACCAAGAGACTAATGTTAGTGAGGAACTTAAAGAAATTAATATCAGTAAAGTAATAGAGAAATTGATGGGACTAAAAACTGATAAATCCCCTGGACCTGATGGCCTGCATCCTAGGGTTTTAAAAGAGGTGGCTACAGAGATAGTGGATGCATTGTTTTTGATCTTCCAGAATTCCCTGGATTCTGGAACGGTTCCCGTTGATTGGAAGATTGCAAATGTAAGAAGGGTGGGAGAGAAAAAATGGGGAACTATAGACCAATTAGCCTGACATCGGTGGTAGGGAAAATTCTCGTGTCTATAATTAGGGACGTTATCCTGGGGCTCTTAGAAAGTCATAATATGGTTAGGTAGAGTCAACATGGTTTTATGAAAGGGAAATCGTGTTTAACAAATCTTTTAGAGTTTTTCTTGAAGATGTAACTAGCAGGTTAGATGGGGGGAAACCAGTGGATATAGTGTACTTAGATTTTCAGAAGGCACTCGACAAGGTGCCACATAAAAGGTTGTTACGTAAGATTATAGCTCATGGAATTAAGAGTAATATATTAGCATGGATCGAAGAATGGTTAACAGACAGAAAACAGAGAGTACGGATAAACAGTCCTTCTCAGATTGGCAAGTTGTGACTAGTGGAGTGCCGCAAGGATCAGTGCTTGGGCCTCAACTGTTTGCAGTCTACATCAATGACTTAGATGAGGAAATAGAGCTTAATATATCTAAATTTGCAGACGATACAAAGCTAGGTGGGAAAGTAAACTGTGAGGAGGACACAAGGAGGATGCAAAGGGATACAGACAGGTTAAGGGAGTGGGGAAGAAGGTGGCAGATGGAGTATAATGTGGGGAAGTGTGAAGTTATTCACCTAAGTAGAGAAAATAGCAAAGCAGATTATTTTCTAGAGAGGGAGAGACTAGATAGTGTTAGTATTCAGAGGGATTTAGGTGTCCTTGTACACCAATCACAGAAAGTTAGGATGCAGGTACAGCAAGCAATTAGGAAGGCTAACGGCATGTTAGCGTTTATTGCAAAGGGGTTAGAGTACAAGAGTAGGGAAGTCTTACTGCAATTGTATAGGGCCTTGGTGAGACTGCACCTGGAATATTATGTGCAGTTTTGGTCTCCTTATCTAAGAAAGGATATACTGGCCTTAGAGGGGGTGCAACGTAGGTTCACTAGGTTGGTTTCTGAGAAGAGGGGCTTGACCTACGAGGAGAGGTTGAGTAGACTAGGCCTACATACTCTAGAATAAAGAAGAATTAGAGGTGATCTTATAGAAACCTATAAGATTCTTAAGGGTCTTGACAGGGTAGATAGTGTGAGACTTTCCTCTGGTTGGAGAATCTAAAACTAGGGTTCATAGTCTCAGGACTGAATTGAAAAAATATTTCTTCACTCAGAGGGTAGTGAATTTATGGAATTCTCTAACCCAGAAGGCTGTGGATGCTCAGTCATTGAACATCTTCAAGACTGAGATTGATAGATTTTTAAAAACTAAAGGGATTAAGGGATATGGGGAAAGGGGGGGTAAATGGAATTAGGTTAGAAGATCGGCCATGATCTTATTAAATGGAGGGTCAGGCTCGAGGGGCCGAATGGCCTATCCCTGCTCCTATTTCTTATGTTCTTATGATGTTTGCATCAAATACATCAGTACTCGCTCAGCGGCAGAACAACAACTTGCATTTATAAAGTACCCCTCACACAGAGACTCAGAGCCATTGACAGTGGCGGAGACTCATGCCGAGCCAGGGAGGCGGTGACCATAAGCACTATCGAAGAGGAAGGTCACCAGGCGTGATCTGAAGATGGGGAAGGAGGAGGCAAGGTGGAGGGACTGAGAGAGCTTGAGATTGAGGGCTGGATGGAAGTCTGAGCTTGTTAAGGAACCACAGATTGGAGATCAAGATCATTCAAAACCCATTCAACATAATACCACTTTCCAGAAATAGTACACATTCAACCAGACGCCTTACTCCAGCCACTGAAAATAGCCATTGTCAATCTTATTCCTTACAGTTGCAGCTAAGACCCTTTATTGCCAGCTCCCTGCAAACTCTAACCCAGTCTGGGGTTACAGTAAGCAAAATGCAATGCATGATGTGGTCATTTATTGGTGATGATGATTCTCTCTCTATATACAGTTCCGCACAGTCTTTAATACATGGATGAGATATAAGGTTCACCATGCCCATGCTTAATAATCTTGGTCAGATGCTGCTAAGATTTTTGAGCTGAATACAAAAAGCAGCAGGTTTCAAGGTTAAAAGGTAATGGTAACAAATAAAATAAATTGAAGTTTGTGTGAAAATTTCTGACACATTTTTCAAGAGTTCTTTTTGCCGGCTCCCTCTAATCTCCCTTTCGGTTTTCTTATTTCGTTCCAGAGTCTCAACTCATCTTGTTTCTGACAGCTTTTTTTATTTTTGAAAAACGTCTTTGAAACTTAAAGCGCCGAGGCAGATGGATATTCATTTGACTCGCTGCCCACTGCAAGATTTCACTGACAGACCACCCTTTATGTATGCGCACTCACACAC